TCCATTTCCTTCAGTTCATAATAACGCTGAGGTTCAATCCGCTGGTTATTTAGAAAAGTGCCGTTCCCAGAGCCCAGGTCGATTATGTAGGGCCTTACTCTGCGGCCAACGGTACCATCGGCGCGAGTGTACTCCACAAGCCTAGCAAAACAAAAAACACCACTTCAATCACAACAGCGCGAGGCAGAAAACGTACTCCAAGAGCAGATGGGTTTTGCAACACACGAGCCCCGGTGCAGTTAATACTTATCCGTGCTTGCAGAGATCTGAACAAGTCTGATGAGAGCAATGAGAAACTGTGAGACTGAGCAGATTCTGACTGCATCGCCTTCTAAAACTTCTGATGATATAATACAGTAATTCCTACAACAGAACAGATGGCTGTTCCCTAAGAGAGCGTCTTTGTCTTCAGCAGCAGGCAACCCCTGCTGCTTCAGAGGAGATCAGCAGACTTTGTTGTGAAAGACCAAACGAAAAAAACCTCTCCTTGAAATACTTTTACTGCCAATTACACCTGCTGGTTTATTCCAATTCAGATACGCGCACGGTTCTGTGTTTAACCCTGCTGTGTTATTTGTCTTACTAAAAGGCTGCTTGTGGTTAAATGAGAGGAATTACAGATATTTTTGATTACTGCTAGGATGATATGCAGCAGTCAAACATAAATTCCATCTCCCTCTAACGTACTTACAGCAAACTCGTACCTCTCAGCTGTGCATAGCCAAGGGTTTTTTGGCTTGGTTTGGTTTTTTTTTTTTTCCTTCAGAAGTTCCTGAATAATCCTGTTTCACCAGCAGGCAGAGTAATACTTACCGGTACTGGAACACGGCATGCTGCTTTGAGCAGGAGGGATGGTCAATGGGGATATCTGCAATTCTGCGGTGCCTGCCCAGAAGATAAGCACTCTGCCTGTGAATGTACATGACCGGGAGAAACTCATCGTTTTTGAACGGATAGAGGCGCCATCGCTTCTTCGGGATGCGAGCTTCAGGGGGCTCGCTGTACTTAATCACAACACCTCGGAAAGTGTTGGTATCCTCTAGAAGCGCGCCAGACAGTTCAAAGCTTGGCTTCTCTTTGTTTACAGAAGCTTTTTCTTTAGGCTTGTTATCAGATTGCCCGAGTTCTGGGTTCTGGTCAACACCACTGCCTTCGTTATTTTGTCGGTGCTCTCGTCTTCTCTCGTTATAGAACTCCCTCTCTGCTTGCTGCTCACGGATGTTCTGAACATCCCTCTCTCGCTCGTGGCCTCGAACTCCAGGCCTTTCGTTTGGATTCTTCCTTCTGTCTGAGTGGTCTCTGTGTCTATCTCTGTCACCGCTTCTCTCCCTCCTGTGTTCCTGTTCTGACGGGTATCTCTGCTTTCGCTCCTCGTTTCCTCTGCGACAATGGTCGTCTCGCTCCTGTAACGAAGAATCGCTTATAGTGACGTATTCAGAATTAGAACGAAAAGAGCAGTGAATCTACCTCAGCTTTTACGAAAATCACAATCCTACTCATGGAAAACACACGTCCCTGGACGTGTCGTGTGCAGATCTAACACAAAGCAAGAGAAACTTATTTCCTTGCCAAACTATTTGGATTCCTACCACTCGCACAGGATAAAGCAAGATCAAGAAACAGTGCCACGCGCCGTCTGCTCCGGGCACGCGAAGAAGCTCGCGGGGACAGCCCGCGTTAAGTGGCAAAGGGCAAAAGGTTCACCGACACGCGTGTGAACACCCGCTCACTTGGGGCAAAGCCTGAGGCTGGCAGCACGAGCTCTAAACCGCCAAGACCCTCCTTTTCCTAACACGAGGCCCTACGAGGGCCAGAAGAAGATAACTGCCAGGTGAGGAGTCGTTTTTCGTACCTCGCACGGCCGAGTCCCACGGGAACTGCTGTCGCAGCGGAGCCGGGAAGCGCGCAAGGCCCCGCGGACACCTCCGCGGGCAGGGCCGGGCCTCGCTGCTACCGACAGCGCGATTTACCTGCTTCACCTTCACGGCGGCGCGGTGCGGGCTCCGGCTCCTCCTGCCGCGCGGGGACCG